TGTGTGTGTGTGTGTGTGTGTGTGTGTGAGAGAGAGAGTCAGTGAGTGTGTGTGTATGTGTGTGCGTGTGTACGTGTGTATACGTCATAACTTTTTGACATAATTACAACAGTTACATTTTCTTTCTTTTTTATGTACGCTTTCTTCTCTAGCATCATTTATTTCCCAGCCTTATTGCATGCTTCAGTGTGTTTTCTACGTTAAAAACGGTCTTCTTTTTCTTCTTGTATTCTGCTTTGTTCATCTCCTTGATGTCAACTCTCCCCCCACATCTCTTTCACACTATCTCGTATTTTTTCACCCTTATTGTTTGCTTTCATTTTGACACATTAGAAAATTCTAGTTCACTATTGTTACCTTGCCACTGTCAAACCTGCTATATAATTCATACTTGACTACACCTAACAGTCTCCAGTCTGGCAATGTATGCGTTAACTATGATTATAAGTTCTTATAAAATCTGAGATAAAAAAGGGTTAAAAGAGAGAAATCCGGGAGCCTGACGCACATCATTTCCTCCTCGTTATCCATCACGTGACATATCCTGGGTATGATTAGTAGAAACGCGATAGAACGTTCGCTCGCAGCTGACGCGCATAGAAAACGGCTGGAAACTGCCAAGAAAGACATATTTTACCGCTAGTCGCATTTAAGCCCCTATTGTCGTACTCCGTGCTAGGAGCTCAAGGGCCATTGCATACAAAACAAGAGAAGAGAGAGTGTTAACGATTGAAATGCAGAGCGTGAGAAGGAAAGGCGGAAGTTCGATTGGAAAGCTCTCTACTAGATGAACCAGCTCCATAACATGATTATAGCGTATTTGAGGGAGGCCAACTTTCTGGAAACTTTCTCGAAATTATGCCGAAACCGATGAGTCGAAAGAAAAATCCTCCTCAGCAAAGAATACCTGGAGATGAAGCACGCGTGTGAGGCAATGTTTTAGATTTGAATCATGCGAAGAAACAACAAAAGTTAGCCTCTCAATTAAGCATCCAAGAAAATAGAGCGGAGAAGGAATAAACAAAGGGAAACACAGAGATGAGAATATGGCTGTACATTGAAGCTGTTGGATTCTTTCTGCCACAAACAGAAGGAAAAATAGAAAAAGGGGTTGGATGGTAAATCGCTTGTTCGTGTATGTGTATGTGTGTGTGTACGTGTGTCTGGCGTGTAATTATGTGTGTGTGTGTGTGTGTGTGTGTGTGTGTGCGTTTGTGTGTGTGTGCGTGTCTGTGTGTGTGTGTGTGTG